CTGATGTGTTGAGCACTATCAGATGAAGCTTCGTAGTGGGATACCAACAGTGCCAAAACAACAGAGTTGAATTCGTGAAGGCAGACAGAAATGATCGACTGCTCAACCGCTGCAATACTTTAGAACAAAAAATAAGCAAATAAATTATTGAAAGCTCTAATAATACTGTTGATAATATAAAAATATATATAATAAAAGAATAGTAGCCCTAAAAAAGGGGATGAAACAGACTTCAACAGGGTAATAAAGAAAAACATATTTGTATGCCAATAGAAATATAAAGCCCTTCAGATTTCTTTTATAAAAAACATTTCAGATCATCAGTCAACTTCTTTTTTTTTAATCAAATGGACATTTTTTTTTTTTATGAATATCTTATTTAGTCAAACAGAGTTACACAAACCAACCTTTTCCCCATTTGAAACCTGACTTCCCTCCTTAGATAATGGATTAACAGTAACTATCAGTATTAGTTCCAGGTACTCCAGCCTTGGGGCTGCTGCTTACTTCAGGTGCTGGACGACTGGCAGGAACTCATACCAGCATGAATTTTTCTCTCTATAGAAAACCATGAAGGATGTCCCGCTATTATTTGGTACTCAAGAGCACATGGTTAACGCAGCAGGATGACAATCCAAATCACACTACTAAGGCAATTTTTTTAACAGCTAAAAAACAACCGACATAAAGGACTTTGATCCAACTGAGCTGCTGTGACGTGGTCTTTTATAGGCATTCCCTCACAGAAACCCTCCGAAAAAAGAAACATTTAAATCATTTGCAAAGCAATCTTAAACAGTAACAAATTACTGCTAGTTTTTGTAACACCTGAAGCCAGATGCCACTAAAGAAGGTAACGTCTACCTTCATTTTCACATATGGCCAAAATCCATTAAAAACTCATTCCAGTCATGAAAGAAATGCTATCTTGCTTTCATTTAAAATAGGTTTGATGTTCTGAGATGTTTCAGCATGAAATTACAGCAATAAAATTGCTACTTGACAAATTTGTACTTTTTAATCACAAAAAAATCCTGTATGAAGCAATAAGAGCTGACTGCAGGTAGAGATTTAGAAGAGAAATGAGAAAAAAGTTGCTGAAATGGGCACCTGTAGAACAATCTGGTAACAGAAGGGAAAAAATCAATATGGTAAATGATACGAGGACTAACATTTCTCTGCCATGGGGGCAAGCCTGCAAAAAACTCTTAAGTTAATAACATTAAATCAATCTAATCTCTGCATTCCCAGTGCACCTGTATCCACCAGACAGGCGTTAGGTGTACTAATGAACACAATAACATGTAATTGAGCAACCATCAAACAAATGCCATTATATTACACAGATGTTTTCAAATAACCATGGCTTGTATGTAACATGACTTCTGAATCCCAAGAGTCTTAAACTAAAACTCCCAGAGAAATCTACGGATCACCAAAACATACATCATAGAAATTTGACTTGATTAAGCCATTATCACATATTATCATACTCACTCCCCATGATCTTCATTCCACTTTTGAACATGGCAAAAGTTTTGTCTCGCTTTGTTTCCCCACAAGCTTAGCTCTGCTAATATCGCCGCGTCTATCGGCTTCAGCAACCATCTGAAATCAGCAGCTCTGTGAAGCAGTGGCCCAAACCAAACAGGGGACTGAACCCTCTGTGGCACCATCTTAGTATTTGGTTAGCTGTGAACTTTGATCCATGCTTTTGAACAAACCGTTTTCCATTCAGGTGTTTATTCTATTTATTATTTGTCTGACAGATGTTACTCAGGGAGTGTACAAGTGGGGTACCTTATCTAGGTGAGACAGAAAAACAACATGAAGCCTGGATGAGCAAACATAGGAGGAGACTAATCCTATGAGAGGACTGTGTTGGAGGTAAATACATTACTGCGTGTAATGACGAGCATTGTTGAGTAAGTTGGGGGGAACTTTGATCATTTTTCTTTTGATTGCTAATCACTGGACGGCTCTGCTTTAAATAACTTCATCAAGCTTTCCAGACAGTCTGCCTGAGCTTCGACTACGCATAAAAACATCCTTTAAAAAGTCAATGCTGAGCCACATGCTGCTGCTTCCACATTAATGTTTCCATTTATGCAAGATAACAAATCAAAAACGATGAGAAACCAAATTGGTCATGTTTTGGAAAAGGGACCAAACATTTTCAGCTTTTATCCCCTCTACCCTAATCGCGCTGTGATTTCAGTAACCCAAACCTACTTGCACAAGTTTGGGATCACATAGCAGAGATTGGTGTGATAAAGTGTGCAGGTTGAGGCAAGAGCGTTTGTCTTCAGTTTGTTGCATAAAAACTGGACAGGCCTGATGCCTTATGAGGGGAGAACAACAAAAACAGCCGTGCTCGCTGGTTAAGGTGGGGAACCTGTACACCAACTATTTCCCTGTTAAAAAAGTGAGTTAATTAGTTTCCTTTGAAGCATTCTGACCTTTATTGCCTGCCACAGATTTTGTTACGGCTCAGACTGGAGCAGCTTGCTGCTATTTGCTGCATCTGGGTTTGTGGTTTTCCGTCTGTAGAAATGGTGGAAAATAATAAGCCGCCATGATGAAGTAATGATTCAATTTCATTGTCGTAAAGACGTAAAGCCTCATTACTGATTCTTAAAGTAATTTATGTCTTAAAAGGAAGATGAAAAAAATTTAGCTTTAATCATCATTTGTGGGATTCTTCTTCTCTAATGTTAAGATTTCTAAATTTTACTCTGGATCAGGATTAGCTCAAAAAACGATTCCTTGTCCCTGTTAAAGAAAAGCACCACCAACATAAGTTACCTTCATGCAGATGATGCACAGCTTTAGGTTACAAATCTGAGCAGGTCATTATGAATGAACCCTTTCCAGCGCTGGGTGAATGCATGGAAGAAATCAAGACATGGATGTGCCAAGATTTTAAAAAGATGATTCAAAACAAAACTGAAGTAATAATTGCTGAACCAAAGAAAGAGTATTTAAAAGTTAGGACGCAGAATCGGTTAGCTTCAGTTAGAAGCCACTGATCAGGCCTGAAATCGGCCTGCCGTGATGGTATCTGACCTGAACTTCAGAAGCACATAAAGGCAGGAACAAAATCCACTTATATGAAGAACGTCTCCATGATTAAAGGACTAATGTCTCAACTAGATCTTGAAAAAGCAATTTGTGCTTTAGTAGAACTGATTACGGCACTAGCTTCTTTGCAGGTGTGTCTTAACATCGATCAGACAGCTGCACTGGAAAAAAATCGAAATGTAGATAGTCATGTTTTTCTTAAAATAAGTGCATTTGTTATTATATTGAGGAGGTAAAAGAGACATTTTGCCAATGGAACAAGACTATTTACATTTAAAATAAGAAAACACATTTGCATTGTCTTATTTCAATTGCATATTATCTAAATACCTTATTTTAAGAGTAAAAAGACTAATTCCTATGGCAAATTATCTCATTTACCTGCTCAAATTATGGGTAAATGCACTTAATTTAAGAATTTTTTTCTTATTTTTAGATCGTTTTTCCAGTGTGCAGTCGATCTAAAATGCTGCTGCTTGTGTCCTCACTAAAACTAAGAAAATAGTGCACATGACCCTGATTCTAAAGCCCTTCCACTGGCTCCCCATATCTCAGAGAATAGACCTTTAATACCTCCTTTAGTCTATAAATCAATGAATGACAGACTTGCTGTCAGTGCATTAACCAACCAGACCACTCAGATCCTCTGGATCAAGTCTACTCAGTTTATAAAGAACCAGAACCAAACATGGAGAAGCAGCTTTTTGTTCTTATGCTGTACTAATCTGGAATAAACTCTCAGAAACATTTAATTATTTTAAATGAAGGTTATAATCCTAGTTGTTCATAGCTCCCTTTGACCTTGCTACTGAAACCGTCAACTAAAAAAAAAAAACCCAGAAAGTTCAGGATTCTTTCTGGGGTTTTTTTCTTGCTTTTTTTTCTTTCATATATTTTATTCATCCAGCCGTTTGAATGGTCTTGTCACTGAAATTTTCCATACTGGTAAACTTTTCAATGGGCCATATTTGTAAAGTTACCTGTCAACAGATTGTTCCACATGAGCTGAGGATTTCTGCAGCTCCTCCAGATTTAAATGTCTCTAGCTCTTTGTCCCTGCTGGGTCTGCTGCTTGTTTGCAGACAAACCCCTGAGGCCTCACAGCTGGATTTATACTAAGATCTAAATGCAGTCAGATGGACTCTAGTTTAATAATCACAGGATTTAAAAGACAACAGCGGATTTTATTTTGGGGGTCATTTAATTCAATAATTTTAAAAGTAGGTTTAAAAGTTTTAATCGCTAAAATTGGATCAAAACCATCTGTGCATTAACAGCCGATTATTACAGTGCTTTGAGTTGGTCTGTAACCTGAAAAAAATCCTAATGAAATTCACTAAAATTACTTCTTGCAGCAGAAAACAAAAAATGTTCAAGTGATCTAAATCCTCCTGACGGGGTCAGAACCCACGCAGCGAAAAACCAAACTGCAGGGTCCACTCTGACATCATGTACCGACCACTTCGATGCAGTGCCATCAGGTACAGACTGGGACTAAACAAGCTTTACCCCCCACCCCATTTAATCAGCACGGCTCTGTTACACAAATGGTGACACAACGCAAACAGCAAACTGCTTACTTAGCACATCGTCTAGTTTTACTACAAACCGCACCGACATGTGTAGCCTCACGGCCATGGACCGCCACCAGCTGCACACATGCTTCCTTCGCTCCTCATCATCCTCCTACCTGCAGACGTCTCTGACATTTACTAACATGCAATAAAGTAACAAGTCATTTCTCAAGGACTTATTACTGCTGTTAATCCTTCAGTTAGAGTCACATTTCTTAAAAAAAGATAGAGACAAAAAAATTTGAAGAAAAAAAAAATCCCCACACAGAAAACAGCTGCTTTACATAGACAGACTCCAACAGCATCACCTGATAAATAAAGCATGTGTTTGTTTGGCTGGTTTACCTGTTGGCATACAGATGTGAAGCAGAGAAAACCGACAACAACAGGATGCGAAGAGGAAGCCCTGATGTTCAGCGACATAAACCCATCAGGTAGAGGAAAACGTTAGCCACCTGTAGTCCCATCAACTCCAAGAGCGACAAAAAAAAAAAAGAAATGTAGAAAGAGAAAAGCCTCTTAAGGTGATAGCCTTGTTGTGATGCTCTCCCTGAATGAACCGATCAAGGAGGAGGAGGAGATATGAAGGAGGGGGGCGGAGGATTAGAATAGCAGGCCAGGATTCCAGGGATGTGATACAGATGCAAGTCCCATTTAAACAACATCCGAACACACAGCCAGACGGGTTAGCCGTACGGGATTAGAGCTGGAAGAAGAAGAAGAAGAGACAGAGCCTGCCTGCTGAAGGAAGCATCCAGCATTTAGTCCTTTGTGCGTGGTGTCAGCAAGGATTACCACCGTAGAGGAGGAGGAGTGGGAGGAGGAGGATGGCCAGCGGAGCGCTGTGTTCAGCCTGACGTTCTCCCGTTGCTTACGTAGAAAACTGGGCCAGTGGGCTTTGCTCCATGCATGCTTCCTCGGATGCCGTAGTGAGCATGTGAAGCAGGCGCTCTGCCTTTATGGGCCAATATGTACAAAGACATGCGCATCTAGATGTACAGCCTCCCCCCCGTAGCCTGTGGGGACACTATTCGCCCTACTGCCAATGAGCAGACAAGCAGAAGACAGAGGGAAGAGGGGGAGGGGTGCCTATTACAGGGGCATGGTCGGGATATTTTTCTTTTTTACTTAGAGGAAAAAGGGGTGTGGCTGGAGACACATTTGATGAATGGACACCTGCCACAATCCATATTTTAGGGCTCAAAACATATTTTCTCTTTCCTCCACAGGCGCTGATCCTCTCAGGCAGCTTGCAGGCTTCACAATGCTTTGATAGCCTTGGAATATGTTCTTTAATGTGGACACAGCTGCAAGAGATGACAACTATATTGGATCCAAAAAAAAATAAAAATAAAAAAAGGAGAAGCAGCATTCTGCTGATCCTGACAGACACGCATGAATATACAGCTGCTATTAGCAGGAAATGCACATCCAGAAGAATGAATGAGTGCTTAGGTCTGGGTCCAGACACAAGCTCATAATGAAGTGTATGAGGGCTCTCTCCAATCTGGTAAACAAAGCCGCTGCAGACTGCTCAACAGACATGTTGGCGTGGAACATATGAAGGGAGGCATTCATTCCCACAGCTCCTCTCCACTATTAATAATAGAGACATATGCCAGTCATTACAGATGGAGATCAGAGCTAAGGCTTGCTAGATACCAAAAATAGATATAAATATCTAAAAATCTAAAAGTATTTATGTTGATGGCTTCAAATGAGAATGACTCCGAGGATTTTCTTCTAGATTTTTTTGTCTAGAAATAAAAGATTAAAGATGACCTGAACGTAGCTCTAAAAGCCCAGAGGCAATGAAAGCTCTTTTCATCTTAGAGTCAGCATAGATGCATCTATGGGTTCAATGAGCTTTATTTAACAAAGCTGATGGTTATCTCTGGGTTAGCATCAGAGTATTCACCTCTGGCCGTTTTACTAAACTCAGGACAAAGAGCATCTGAGTACATTGCTGTTTGTTGACGTATTTGATGACTGAAAAATTCAGAGGCTTATAGTTAAGATGCATTCCACTAATAGGGCCCAGCAGGTTCGGACTGGGAATGATTTTCAGCCCTGGCATTTTTCCATCTACACCGCCCCACTTATGACCCCCCCCCAAAATAAAAATAAAAAAATAGAAGCGTCTAGTGCATCTCAAATGTGAAACACAATACAAATACACATGGGTTGTGGATTAACCGATCTATCCATCTTCAAGCATCACATGACATCTATCACCAAGACTTCAATAATGCAGTTTTACTGGCTTTGGTTATTAACACGGACACGACAGTGAGGGTTGCCAGATGTCACTGACTCACGTTTTGCAGCCCAAAACATTTTCATAAACCGCCTAGTTATACAAAATCTCGCCCAATTTGAACCAAAGTCCATTGATTTTTGGGCCAGAAATATAAGGAAAAACATTTTTTTTTCCCATAGACAGCTATCCTAAACTGCCAGATTGGGAAACATCCTAACCTGGCAACAAAGCACGTAAGATGAGAAACGTAGGCCTTTAGATACAAAACCCCATCATGCACCACAACATATTTTTGCAAAATATGCAAACATAAATTCGCAAATATAAGAGGAACATGGTAGTTTGGTTTGAAGAAAGCATTTTAGTTTTATTATAATTTCGTTTTTTGCAAGGATTTTACAGTTTTACAGGAGTTACAGTAATTTTTACAGAAAATTACACCATATGCCAACTGTCCAAAGGATGTGCATGACAAGGAAGGGCTATATATACTGCATGCATTATTTAGGTAGTTAACTTTATATTACTTCTTCAGTTCCTTTGACTTATTTACTGTCACAGCTAGGGGCTTCGGCCAGAAAGTAAGTGTTGGAGCTGGTATGATTTACGCTGCACGCTGAAATTAGGACCGACCCACCAGGCAAAGGCCCAGTATCACAGATTACAACTCCGAGCCAATTCCCAGTCTGTCAAAGGAAAAACCGTTGCTTCCTGATGCAGACTGAACCAAATATTAGCATCGAGATCAGAGAAGCTGTCTGACAAGGGCTTCCTCAGTCATGAAAGGGATATGCTGCCCTATCAACCGTCAGTTACAGGAAGAGCTTTTCATCAGGAGATTACTCGATGTCCGGTATAATGGAATGCCCTAACTAACCTAATGCATGTTTGATTTAGGATGCAAATAAAGAGTAAGAAAAGCATTTGTTACAATACAGAGGAACCAGGCAAGGGGCATAAGTCATGCAAAAGAAATCCTTGCAAAGATACCATCTCGCCCACATGTTTTGGGTCAAACCCACAACGTCCTGATAAGCAGTCAGCTGCATGTTTACTGGCATCTGTAAACACTGAGGACCGCAGCTCCTTCTGCCACTTCTAACCCGAAGGCACAAAGTAATCACAGCCACTTTCTGCTTTCCATTATTTATGCCAGTCACTTTGAATGCAAGGCATTATGAAATTTTACCACTTGTAAGCTGCGTCTCTTTGTCAACAATGCATACATGATGAAACTTTAGCGGAACAAAATACTTCCCTGGATTTAATGTAAACGCTAAATCAAACCAGCAGGTTTGGAAAAAATGATATCAGTATCTCTGAAATCTACCACAAGAAAATGCAGAGTATTTTATCTTTTAGCTGAGACTCGTTTAATCACTTTTAAATGAATAATATTTATTATTTGGAGCCTATATCAAATCACAATTGCCACTAAATTATCAATCGATGTAGTTTTGAAATTACAAAATTTCATTATTGTGATATGAGTGTATTTTAGTTTCAGAGCCAAGATCAGACTAGGCTGAGAAAACAGCAGAATAAATGCTTCACAAACTATTTCCTTAATTTTGTTTTTCCTTAGAAATAATTGTAAACTGTACTGAACAATTGTGTTCAGCAAATACAATAGCCAATAGTTTTTAATATAATGTACTTTTTGTGGTTTTAATACTACTACCTCTATTGAAGCTCCTATACCTCTTATAATCAATAGAAAAATATAAACTGGCCAAAATCCTAATTTTCAGAGCCCGGAAAAATCTGGAAACTGGTGTCGGCCATATCTAACCTGCATTACTTTTGTGATGATCTCTACAACATATAGAAAGTCAGGTCTTGGTCCCTGATAATCTGCTTTTCTTGATTTTAGATTGATGGCTTCTTCTATGCTGAATGGCCTTTCAGCCCAAGGGCTAGTTTCACCGTAGATAATGATGCCGCCTTAAGGCTGTGGGCTTTTGTTCTGGGACTGATTCACATATTATGCAGCCATAAAGATCCATCTCTCAACATAAAGCCTGCGTCCTTCCTGAGGAGCATCGTGGCTGAAGATTTTCACGCTGATCATGCTATACCTGCATACATAGGCATAATTCCCAGGGGATGTTCTTTACCAGCTGAAAAGCTAATAAGTCATGAATCACTTCACTTGTTAAAATAGCACTATTTATAACATAAAGATACATATTTCCATTTTTTTTTTGTCAAAATCTGCCTTTTTTTTCTTTATCCGCTTACTATTTAAGAAAAATAGCCTAGCTTTTTATGCTTAAATCAAAATGGGTAGTATAGCAGCAGTTATAGATGAGAGAAAAGACCTGAAGAGGGGAAAAGGGGAGAGAGCATTTAAGATTGAGAGGAAAAATTGATTATGGAGAAAAAGGGGAGGGAATAAAAATTAGAAATTTTTCTGAAACCTCTGTCAGGATGTTATGGTCAGACATGAGCCACCAGAAAGAAGTACGTTCAGCTCTTTTGATTTCTTAACAGAAGTGATTCTCATCTTCTGAAGCAGAAATAGATTCCAGCTAGCAAGAGGTGGTTCAGAAGACGTTGACGAACGTCGACTGAAAGTCAAACGTTGAATGTTCAGAAATCATGTTCACAGAACTTTGCCTAAACTTTTACAGTCAGTTTTAATTTTTATTAAATCTTTTTATGGGTGTTATTATTCTTAATCAAAACTCTTTTTTTGTCTTGTAAGAAAAACTTTACAATCCGAACTTATATAAGCCTTATATATAAACTCCTGTCTAATACTATCCTCTCTATGCAAAGCTATTAATCTCTAAAAGAGCTCAGTATTCAAAGTCCGAATTTCCTAATTTTACAGTAAGTGTGATTTAGTTTTTTATAGACCAAGAAATAACAGAGTAAAAAAACTGATGAACAGGTGGTTTAAATACTTTATTTAATTTATAGGCCTACAGTAACTGTCGGCCTATAAATCATCCCTGCTGCCCTTAGACTCTACAATGCGACACTACAACGGCAATAACTTGTGCAATGTATAACGTGCAATTTACTATTTGATACCCTGTGCAATAACTGTTTCTCTATATTTGACATTCAATGCAGTAACTATATATATAAACATCCATCTATATAAATACCCATGTAAATACCCTGTGCAATATCCCTGTATAACAATCCTGGTATAATAAAAAAAATAAAAATAACTGTCATATGTGGACGCACTGTATATACTGCATATATTCCATGCACCTTTTTCTTCCTTTGGAACCTTCTTCTTCTCTTTTTGAAAATTTGAGCTGATGTAACAAGTCAATTTCTCCACTGTGAAATAAAATTAATCAGAAGCAAACGTATTAATCTTATGTTATTAATTATTTCTAATTTAAACAAAGCAGTAAAAGAAATCTGTTGCTCTCATTGCCTCAATCAATTTTTATGCGTCTTTAAGACAATAGTCATATATTTAGTAAAAAAATAAATAATGTGATGGGATTGTACATTTGTGAGGTTATAACATTTCCATCCCTACACATTTGTTCTACCAGTCTAAGCAGCTGCAGCCAATATTTCTCCTTCATTATTATCAGTAGAAATGACAGCTGCACAGGCTGAAGTCTTTCCAAATGTTTTTCTCCAAAATGTGATGACAGCAGCCCCTGTAGAGTCCAGAAAGCCACTTTTAATCAGGAGTTCTGTGTGTTTTTCCCACTTGCAGTCAGGTGACA